TCAGGCTGAGGAGAGTGGATTTCTTCAGCCCAGCAGTTTAAGGCTACATGAGCCATGATCATGCCACTGTACTCTAGTCTGCATGAAAGAGTGAGATCCCAAATCAAAAAATAAGGTAAAGGATTAGAGCCATTTTTTGGAGGAGTCTCACTTTGTCGCCCAGGCTGGTGTGTAGTGGCATGTTCATAGTCACCACAGCTTTAACCTGCTGGGCTCAGGTGATCCTTTTGCCTGAACCTTCCAAGTAGCTGGAGCCACAGGTGTGTGCCACCACACCCAGCTAGTTTCGTATTTATTGTAAAGATGAAGTCTCACCAGGTTGTCCAGCTAGTCTCGAACCCCTGGGCTCAAGCATTCCTCACCTTGGCCTCCCAAAGTGCTGGGATTACAGACATAAGCCACCATGCCCAGCCTTAGAAGCATTTTCATTAAAGACTAAGACAGATGCATGCTGCCATGGCTGTTATTCAAAATTATTCCAGTTAACGCACTGAGAAAAATAAGAAAGATAACTAAAATAAGTAGCTAAAATAAGTGTTTTTTGCAGATTTGGTTTTCTATATAGTAACTCTAAGAAAATTAACTTAAAGTTTTGGCCAACAAAGGAAGTCATTTACAAAATAAACATAAAAGCTCTCCAAGCTTTCATAATTAAAAATTTTAATGGGAAAAATAGTTATTCAAGCACAGTATTAATTAAAACTTTAAAACACCTACAAATGAACCTATCAAGAATTATATAAGGTATATATGGAAAAAACTATACATTTTACTAAAGCACATAAAAATACCTAGGTAAACAAAAGAGATATACTATGTTCACGGTGGGAAGATACCATATTTTAGAGATCCCCTTCTTCCAAAATTAATTTATGCATTTAATGTAGTCCTATCAGAATCTCAATCTGATAGGGATTTGTATTAAATATGACAAAGTATTTGTCCTATATATGTAGGAGAGAAAATAGGAAAAGTCAAGACAATTTCCAGGAAAATAAATGATGCTGGGGAGCTGGATGACCATGCCCTTTCAAATAGCAAAACATTTAATAAAACTGTAAGATTAAACAGTTCAGTATTGGTGTAGGAATAAACAAGGTCATCAGTGGAGCAAAAACATACTGATTATAAAGGTAGATCTATGGAAAAAATTTCGTCAGTTGTAAAAGACTATTCAGTAAGTGTTGTGACAATTGAATATCCACTGTAAGGAGAATTACAGTTGATTCTCAAACAATGTGGGGGATAAGGATACCAGCCCCCTGTCAGTTGAAAATTCACATGTAACTTATGACTCCCTAAAAACTTAACTGCCAATAACCTTCTTGACCAGAACCCTTTCATAAATAGGCAATTAACACGTGTGTTATGTGTACTACATATTCTTAAAATAAAGTAAGCTAGTGAAAAAGATATTACTAAGAAAAGAGAAAATATGTTTAAAGTTTTGTACTGTACTTAATATTTAACAATACCTTAGGTTAAAGTCATCTGTTTATAAGATGAATGTCCGTCTGAAATGGTGGGCAACTGCAGCACAGGCCTCAATCTACAACATTAAGCAGTTCAAGCTATGATGTATGACTTTTCTCTACTTCTTAGGAGTACTTCCAGCATCACTAGTGGCACTTTGTATGGGTCCCATTGTGCCATTCTGGGTTTACGGTATTGCACTAAACACAATGAAAAATACAAGAGAACCTTAAGAGATCATGTTTTACTGTAATACACTGTTTACTAGAGACGTGGATTGCTCATATAGAGGTGAGTAGCATCACGATGTGTTAAGCGAATACTGGGATACAACTAGAGCTCACTACAATAGCAACAGGAGGTAGCTACAGTCATTACAGTAGTACAGTATTACTACAGCTAATTTTATGCAGTTATGACTTAATACTATATCTTTACATTTGTTTATATTTCTCTTGACTGAATGATGCTGTGTCATCTATGTGCATACATTTTAACTTTTTATAATTTATGTATATTTTATGGAAATGATAAAATAGACTAGTATCTACATGTATTTTAATCATTTATAACATACCTAACTTTTAAAAAAGTTTTTCAGTACTTCTGGGTGTGGTTCATCTGCGAGTTTTCAAATTGTTGTAAATCTCCAAAAATGTTTCAATATATTTATTGGAAAAAAAATCCACATATAAGTGGACCCATGCAGTCCATATCTATAGTGTTCAAGGACACGTTCAGTTACATTATTATGATACAAAAAGTAAGTTCCAGGCGGAAAAAAGGTCTCATTCTAATAAGCAAAGCTGTAAAAACGTTATGAAGAATCTGATTTTATTTATTTAGTCAGAGCCTCGCTCTGTCACTCAGGCTGGAGTGCAGTGGCATAGTCAGCTCACTGTAACCTCCGACTCCTAGACTCAAGCAATTGTCCAACCTCAGCCTCCTGTGTAACTGGGACTACAGGTATGTGCCACCATGCCCAGCTAATTTTTTAATTTTTCATAGAGACAAACTTTTGCCAGGTTGTCTAGGCTGGTCTTGAACTCCTGGGCTCAAGCAGTCCCCCTGCCTCAGCCTTCTAAAGGGCTGCGATTACAGGCATAAGCCACTGTGCCCGACCCTCTCCAATTTTTAATATGTGTGCTGTTGAAGAAAACAAATAGACACTCTTAGAATAAGAAAAGACTTCCAAATCGAGACATAAACGCTAAAGTCGTAAAAATATATATATTTATTTTTTATTTTTGAGTAGGAGTCTCACTCTGTTGTCCAGGCTGGAGTACAGTAGCATGCTTCTAGCCACTGCAGCCTTGACCTGCTAGGCTCAGGTGATCCTTCCACCTCAGCCTTCCAAGTAACTGGAACTACAGGCACCCACCAGCACACCCACCTAATTTTCTGATTTATTGGAAAGATGAGGTCTCTCCAAATTGCGAGACACCAAGTAAATAAAATCTAATATATGCAAAGGTTAACATCTCAATCTAAGGAGAAAGAAGGATATATTTAATAGTGTTGCACGATTGGCTCTCTATGTGTAAATAAAGATGCTAACTCATCTATAGAATTAAATTGAAATCTAGGTGTTAAAAGAATTGAGTAAAATATTTGTGTAACCTTGATGAGGGATCACATAAAATGAAAAAAAATCTGGAAATAATATGGTAAATATGTACAGATTTAACTAAATCAAGTAAAAACTTTATATTTGGCAGAAAGTCAATTCAGAAGACAATAGATAGGTCTTCCAGTCAGCCTGGTTTAAAAAAAAAAGAAAGTGGAGAAGATGATTGTCAGTCAATCAAAAGAACATTCATTTAGGTTATTAAACTACCTGAACAAGGGATGGGAGAAGTCATTCACAAAAATTTGCAGAAAGCCAAAAAATATGAAAGGGATGCTAAGCCTCACAAATGAACGTAAATTAAAAGAGTAAAATACAGCTGGACACAGTGGCTCATGCCTGTAATCCCAACATTTTGGGAGGCATAGGCGAGAGGATTGTCTGAGCCACTTGTTGAGACTTCGTCTCTACAATAAATGAAAAAATTAGCCTGGTGTGGTAACCCACTCCTGTGGTTCCAGCTACTTAGAAGGCTGAGGTGGAAGGATTGCCTAAGCCCAGCAGGTCGAGGCTGCAGTGGCCACTGCACTCCATAGTGAGACTCTGAAAGAAAAGAATGAATGAATAAATAAAAATACATGCTGCCCATCACATCAGTAAAAAAAATAAAGTTTAAGAACATTCCAGCCAGGCACGGTGACTCAGCCTATAATCCCAGCACTTTGGGAGGCTGAGGTGAGAGAATTGCCTGAGCCTGGGGGTTCAAGACCAGTCTGAGCAACTTGTTGAGACCTTGTCTCTATAATAAATCACAAAAATTAGCCGGGTGTGGTGGTGTGCGTCTGTAGTTCCAGCTACTTGGAAGGCTGAGGCTGAAGGATCTCCTAAGCTCAGCAGGTCGAGGCAGCATTGGCCGTGAAACGACACTGCACTCCAGCCTGGGCGACAGAGTGAGACTCCAACTCAAAAAAAAAGAACATTTCGTGCTGGCAAAGGTAAAAAGAAACAAGAAGTTTCAATAGCAAGGGTGAAAGTGCTGCATTCTTTTTGGAAGGCCATCTAGTAGTAGATGTTTAAAATGAAGATGTTTATACCCTTTGGTTTAGCAGTTCTCCTATTTAGACTTTATTCTATACAAGTAAAAGCACTAATTCATAAGGAAGCAGATCTTTGTAATTTATAAAGAAAACAGCCGGGTTCGGTGGCTCAGCCTGTAATCCCGCGCCTTTGGGAGGCTGAGGTGAG